TAAGACGCGGGAGACAAAGGATGAAGATGGAGGCCGGCCTTTCGCCGGGGCTGCGAGAGTCCCCGGGGGGTGGGGGATGGGGGCCGCAGCCCTCGAGCGAGTGAGGGGGGCGGACCGCCCGGCCCGCATCTGTCGGAGGGATGGAGGCCTCTCCACCTCACCCAGAAAGAGGGAGGCCAGGAGTGGCATTTTCCTCAGAGGGAGAATAAGATGGCAGGCTAGACGGCAGCCATGGAAGATAGATGCTAGTAGAGCAGCATCTTCGCGAGCAGGAGGCGCGCTGCGGGTTCGGGAGAGCGGGGCGAGGATGGTCGGGGACAGGGAGGGAGGTCAGGCTGCTGGGCGGTTGGGGAAGGGCAGCTGTGGCCGGACCGCGTGCTGGTGGTCGGCGGGTCCCGGCCTCCGTGATGCTCTTCTCTCGGGTGATGACGGCCTCTTCCTGAGAGAGGAGCCGTTCAGACTTCATTTACCCACACACAGCTCTGCCAGGAGCGAGGCAGACCGGGCGACCGCGGGACCATCTAGCTGTGCGTGAGGGCTTCAGGGTTGTGTGAGGACTGGGGAAGAAGACCGAACGATACCTGAAACCTCTATGATTTTATTAACCAATGTCCCCCCAGTAAATTCAATTAAAAAAAAGGAAAGAAGTGAACATACAAAACACACCAGTGAATCTGAATGAAAGAAATGCCTGTGGCACCATCATTCTTGCTGGAAGGAAGTGTTTTGAAGTATTTGAAAGCGCAGACTTTGGGGTCACCTGCCTCTGCCATTTAATCTCTTTGAACCTCAGTTTCTTTATAAAATGGGGATAAGAACCTCTAAGATGGTTGTGAGGATTAAATGTTTGTCATGGTATTTGGCTCATAACAAGCACTCAATAAATATTAGCTATTAGCTGCTACCATTCCCTTTTTTTTAAATCCTCACCTGAGAATATTTTTCCAGTGGTTTTTTAGAGGGAATAGAAGGGAGAGAGAAAGAAACATTGATCACATCAATCGGTTGTCTCTTGAATGCACCCCAACCAGCGCCTGTACCCTGACCAAGGTCCGCAGGGAGCCTGCATCCCAGGTACATGATGTTTCCATCTTTCTCATGCTCCCTGCTGGGGACTGAGCGGGCAACTTGGCCCAAATGGGGAATGGAACCCTCGAACCCTCCGACGCTCTAACCACTGAGAAAACCAGTCAGGGCAATCATTTCCTCTTTCCATTCTTTCTCTTTCTCTGCTCTTGTCCTTTTTTCCTTTTGTTCTTGAATCTTCAATTCTGTGATGTCCCTTAGATGTGGAGAATGAGAAGAATTGATTGCATCTGGGGGGGGAGGGTTTCCACTGGTCCAAGTGAACACATTATGATCAGATGATCAGTTGCCTTGCATCTCTCCCCGGCCCACAAATGTGTTTTTGTTCCAAGGGAGACATAGGATCTGCTTCTCTTTCAGCCCCCTTTTCTGTACCTCTTTCTCACATGAGTTACTTCAGATTCTCACCCAGAAGTGTAATAAGATCCAAAGTTGTGCAGGCACTGCAGCAAAAGAGATAGAAGGGGTGTTTAGGAAAGAAAGTATAGACATCGCACAGGGGAGCTTAGCAAAGGGAGGGCTTTGGAAGTTCCATAGGAATTTATGTTCATGCTATTGCTCTATCCAGAAACAGGCCAGTGTCTGGATCCTTGCCAGGGATCTCCATTCCAAGTTAAAGATGGTCATATACACTTAGTTTTTCATTATTTAGGTTTTTCCAAGCCAATAATTTGACTCCAATTCCCTTTCCACAGCCACACAGATCTCTGCCAGGCTGCCTCTCATCACAGTCAACCTTTACCCAGAAAATTTATATAAAGGTACCTGGGCACATTGTGTGGGTGCAGGTGTACACACACACACACACACACACATACACACATACACACATACACACATACACATGCCTATTTTTAGAATATTCCAGTATGCAAAAATCTAATAAGGTTAAGGATGAGTCTGAGTTTTATCACAGCACTTTGTATGCAGGGCCCTGCCTAGACACTCAGAGGAGGCTTAAAAAGAGAAAACTCAATCTCTGAATGTAGGGAAAACCCCACCCAAGTAGGGCAACAGGCAGTCCCAGGATCCTAAGGCAGCTTGAGGTGGGAAAGTGTGGCGTGAAGAAACACCCAGTATCTACAGAGTAGCATGTTGCTTGGTGCAAAGTAGTGCAGCATTTATCCTGAGGGGACACAGTAGATAGGAGTGTGTGTATGTGTGAAGAGTAGTCATAAAGGTAACCCGAAGGAGGTGACTATTGGATCATCTTGAACAAGCTGAGGGACAAAGTGGAATAAAAGAAACACATGGGGTAATTTGTGTGTAAAGGAGAGGAGGGAAGCCATTGAGGGAAGTCAGGAGGAACCAAGAAGAGTTATGGCATGGGCCTTGTTGAAAGATTTTGAATGTTACATTAGAGATTCTGTAGGGTGGGCAATAGAGACCCACCACTGATTATCAAGCAAGAAAATGTTGGATCCTTGCTGATTTAACTACATGGGTTTCAGGGGAAATGCTGGAGTGAAAAAACAGACCTGCTTCCTGTGGCAAGGACTGTGCTTTTAAGGGAGTAGGGCTGGAAGGCAGATTCGATCTAGTCCTGGCTCTGTCCCTAACCAGCTGTAGGAATTATTATTCCCCTAGTTTTCTCATCTGAAAAAAGGGGGCTACCTTGGGTGGTTGCCAGAGTCCCCTCTCCATCTCTGACATCCTGTGTTCCCTGAATAACTACTAGGCCTTACCAATGACTTTGTTTTGTGGGACTTGTCAAGACCATTCAGTCATTAAGGCAATATTTGTTAGCACCTACTGTGTGTCAATAGCAGGTAGTGAGGAAAATTCAATGGGGGTAGGATATTGGGATGAACAAAAGCAGATAAAGTCTGCCCCTTAGAGTTTTCAGCCTAGTGAGGCAGCAAGCAGATATTTCATTGATTCCAAGACTCACAATCTAACATTTCTGAAGGCAAGATGCATCTTAAAATCAATGGAGTAGCATGATTTAATTGGCAGGCATTTGTTTTTTGTTAATGCCACATGATAGTAAATCAGAATTCTACAAATAACTGTAAAATTCCAGTGGATAATTGCTGATGGGAAAGGTATATGGTGTACAAGCATGTAAAGGAGGGTACTGACTGGTCTGCTGGGTTGGAGGAAGACTTTTTTGAGGAAATGATGGCTGATAGATGTGAAGGATATGTAGTTGAGATGTGTGGGGTTGGTGGGGAGATTACCTCATGCAAAGGTAGATGCCTGAGGTGGAGAATTGAGAGAAGGTGAGTGTGACTGGAGCACAGACCCAGGAGCTCAGCATGGGTGAGTCTGACAAAGTAGTTGGGAGCAAATCTATTATAGCCTCCCAGGTCTGAGGCAGAAGTTTTGGTCTTTACACTAAGAACAGTGGGAAGCCATTGAAGAGTTTTAAGTAGGTAAGTAACATGGTCTGAGGAGCATTTAAAAATATATATTTTTATTAATTTTGGAGAGGGAGAGACATAGAAACAATGATAGAGAATCATTGATCGGCTGCCCCCTGCAGCACTGGGGATCGAGCCCAAAACCCGGGCATGTGCCCTTGACCGGAATCAAACCCAGACCCTTTAGTCCCGCAGGCCAATGCTCTATCCACTGAGCCAAACTGGTAGGGCCTGAGGTGCATTTTGATGAGCTCATTATGGCTGCAGATTAGAGTGAGAGACCCAATGAAAGGGTTGGTAGGCATGGAGGAGGAAATGGAGAGGAGTAGATGGATTCCAGAAATCTTTAGGAGGTAAAATTAATAGGACTTAGCGATGTATTGAGAAGGAAGAGGGAGGTGTGGAGAGAGACACTCACATTTCTAATCTTGGACAACGGGGGCACCAGTCTCTGACATGGGCAACAAACCACTGGAGCCTGGTAGGACCCACAAAGATAGTTACACAGCATTTGGGAAGGTAGAGTGGATCCTAAGGCAGCTTGAGGTGGGAAAGTGTGACACAAATAATTGGATTTCTTCCCATATGATTCGTTTCTGACTTCCCATGCTAAGGAAAGTATCGGGGCAAGAGCAGGTATGATACAGGACTAGAGGAGTTGAACACAGAAAAGGTGATTCAAGTTGGAGTAGTTTGGCTTACCCCTTCTCTCCTTAGGACAAGAGGGGCAGGAAGAGAGGAGGCACAGATATTGGTAAAGGTAGAGATTAGAAAGTATTTTTAAAAGCTGAGATTTCTTAGGCAGATGGTTTGATATGCCTTGGAAGCAAAGAAGAGTCCCGGTTTCGTGGCTCAGTGGTTGAGCATTGACCTATGAACCAGATCATGGTTTGATTCCCAGTTAGAGAACATGCCCGGGTTATGGGCTTGATACCCAGTATGGGGCGTGCGGGAGGCAGCTGATCAATGATTCTCTCTCATCGTTGTTTCTATCTCTCAACGTCCTCTCTGAAATCAATTTTAAAAAACCACGCTATTAAATCTTTTTTAAAAACGAGAAAGCTACATTAAAAATAAGTAAATGAAAAGAAAAAGATAGTCCAGAGGCCAAAGGGACAGTGAGCACTATGCAGGACTCTGGTGCCTTCCTTTAAAAAAAAAAAAAAAAGCTGAGATTTCTCAACAAAGGAATAATTAATTGGGCAGCAGCAAGGTGGCTGTTGGATCACCTTTCCCTGGGTCTCTTCCCTCCCCCCCCCCCCCCACCTCCTTTCAAGCAAAGAGGAGGAATGGCAGGGCCTTTTGGCTGCATTTCCACACCTCAGTTTACTCAAAGTTTTTTTGAATGGGTGACATAGTCATATGATTGCATATTTAAAAGTTACAAAAGGGCATATAGTGATAAATCTCCTTTCCACCTCAGTCCCCCTCCCACCAATTTGTCATCTTTTGTTTCCGATTTTTATACAAGTGATAAAACTTTGCAACACTTTGCTTCTCCCCCCATTTGTTAATATATCTTAGAGGTTGTTTCATATCAAGACAATGAGCTTCTTCATTTTTTATGCCTGCATAGTATTCCATTTTATGTTTGTAATTTCGTAGTTCCGTAATGGTAGATATTTAGGCTGATTCTAATCTTTCGTTTTTACAAATAATGCTGAAATGGAAATCTTGTGTAGACATCATTTTGGCCATCTGGGCCTTTATCTGTAGGATGAATATTTAGAATTGGAAGGTTCTATATAGAGAGTATTTGTTCACTCACTTGTCATTCATCTATCCAGTATTTATTGAGTGCCCATTATGTGCCAGATATTCTTGCAGGTTCCAGGAATCCAACTTTCAACAAGTCAGACATGATCCCTGCCCTTGTGGAATGTTATTACCCTCTATTAAAGGGAAACAAAAAAGGAGACCAGACAGAGAATAAATTGGGAGGATCTGCTTTAAATAGAGTCAGGAAGACTTCTTAGAGTAAGTGATATTTAAGCTGAGAACTAAAGGATGGGACATGGCCAACCATTAGGTGTAGGATGGGGAAGCCTAGGCTATTCAGAGCCTCACCCAGAGACGAGGAGTTCAGGATCTGTAGGGGACATACTGGGGCTAGCGTAGAGGTGGAAGTGAAAAGACCCCGGTAGTGTGAGGGCAGGGTGGGCTGTCTATCTCTTTCATACTCCTTATCTATATTTTAAAAATATGCCACATAAGTCAGGGGAGGAGGAGTACAGCTAAAGAGATGAAGGAGGTGATTGGGCGTGGAAGATATCAAAGAATGAGTGACTAAAGATGAGGCCAGACAGGGGAGGGTCTGGTAGTAGAGGAGAGTTAGGGAGGCTAGTACTTATGAAGGACTATTTATTATTTGTGTTTAGAGGGCTCTGTACCTGGCTGAATTCAGGTGGGGAAACAGGAAAAGAGGCCACTTCCTTCCTGGATATTTTATGAATGAGAGGCCACAGTTTAACTGGTCTGAGGGAGGCATAGCTTTGCCTGCAAGCAGGAGAGTGGATGAAATGCCTTGGGCAGAGCCAGTCTGCCTGTAGTGCAGCCTCCAACCTTTCTGTGGCTTTAGCAAAATGGAAACTTCTAAATTAAAGATGACATCGAAGGGACGCAGCCAGCTGGCTCTGGGCTGGTGGAAGAGAGAGCAGACATATCCAGGGCTCAGAGCTGGGAGTGGGCAGGAAGTTGGTCTTGGAGACTCTTTCTCTGAAGTTTATGCTCCTTTTTTATCCTCACCCCTCTGTTTCCCTTTTGCAAACGCCCATCTCTTTGCCTATCCTGGGTCCTATGACTTTTCTCTCCCTCAACAGTCGGTTCCCGATTCTGGTCCCCGGCCCCCAGCAGCGCCTGCCCCCTTCCCACCGGGGCCCCCCATGATGCCACCACCCTTCGTAAGTTTTATGTCTTTCCCTGGGCTTGGCTTTTCCAGCCTGCACCCTTTAATTCCCCTGTCCCTAGCACTGCTGCACGGTTTTCATGTAAAAAAAACTCTTTTCTGCTAACCTTGGAAGAGGGATGGTTTTGTTGGGTTATTGGGGTGGGAGATGCTGCTGTTCAGCTCTCCGTTCATAAAGTTGACAGTTCCTCCTTTGTCTTTTTGTCCTGGGGACATACTGGGGCTAGCGCAGAGGTGGAAGTGAAAAGACCCCAGTAGTGTGAGGGCAGGGTGGGCTGTCTGTCTCTTTCACTTCTCCTTATCTGTCTTTTAAAAATATGCCACATAAGTCAGGCTGGAGTAGCAACTGATGGTCATTGAATTGGAGAAAAAGGGGTGGGAGGCAGGGAACTAGGGATTTGGGTACCTGGACACATGCCTTTTGGCCCTGCATCTGAGAAGCCTCTTTGAGGAGAGTTGCTAAAGAAATGGAGCCTTCCAGCTGCAGTCTAGTGTTGGTTATACTTTTCTTTTCCTTCTCCCTTCCTTACCTCTCAAGAAGCTGTGTGCTTGCCTGTTAGACCCAGAGGACCCCCCAGTTACCAGTCTTTCTCAGTGGTGAGGAGGGTGGCAGTTTCATACTTGGTGCTTAGCAAGCTAAACTTTGGAATTGCCTCAGAGCCAGGGTGGAAGGTTCAGGTGAGAGATAAGTGGATGTTTTCTGCCAGAACCAAGGCAGTGTCTTCTCTGCTCAGCATCTCTTCTTTTCCTCATTTCCAGATGCCCCCTCCAGGAATCCCTCCGCCCTTCCCTCCGATGGGGCTACCGCCCATGAGTCAGAGACCACCAGCCATCCCCCCCATGCCACCTGGCATCATGCCCCCAATGCTACCACCAATGGGGTCACCACCACCACTCACACAGGTAATCCTCTCCTCTGCACCAGGACCTCAGAAAACCTGTCAGTTTATCTGGGGATGGAGATGAGAGTTGGGGATCTGGACTTCAGGAACTGGGGAGGGAAGGTAGGGAGCATTGGGACAGGCCAATGTGGATTTGTCTGCTGAATGACTGGAAAAAACTCTCAGGCTAGGCTAGAAGCCCATAATCCCGCAGGGGATTGCCTGAGGAGGTGCCCATGTGAAGATCATGAACACAACAGAATCCCTTAGGTCCCTGCCAAGCCTGTGCCTGCCCCCACCTCAGTAGCTGGTTTTTGTCTTTATATCCATAGATACCAGGAATGGTTCCTCCCATGATGCCAGGAATGCTGATGCCTGCAGTGCCTGTCACCGCAGCGGTAAGCACTGGGGCCAGCAGGAAGCAGCTCTGCATTACAGCACTGTGGGGGTCTGATTGGGAGTTCAGGGATATGGCCTCCATTCTTTCTCTCTTCTCATCGGGTCCATCCTGGTTCCTGTCAGCATTCCCCACACTTGAGTCCTCTCCAGCCATGTACTTAGCTCTTCTGTTTCTCACTCTTCCCCAAAGGCATATACATCCTCTGTTATTCGCCATTGTGTCCATCTCCCTTAAGGAACACACTCATGCCAGACACTGCTTGACCTCACAGAGCTAGCACTGTGGACACTTAAATACAGTCCCTCTTCATGTCTTTTTAGTCTCTGGAGAAAACAACAGCACTTGAGGATCTCGCTGTACCTTCTTGTGCTGTTGCTCAGTGTAGTAGCGTCTGGGTAGGATGTAGAATTTGGCATCCACTGTGGAAGGGATGGGTCTCAAGAAAATACTCTCCCTTGAGGAAAACGAAGAAAGGAGTCGCTGTGTGATTCCCCCTGGGGATCCTAGAGCCACCACCCGGGAGGGTGGGGCAAGCATGTTAGGTAGCAGGACACATGGATCTTGGCCTGGCCTGCTTCTCGATCCCCCATGGCCTGGGTCCTGGAGGCCACTGGGCTTGGCCCCAACCCTTCCCCCTCCTCTTTCTTCGGCAGACGGCTCCAGGTGTGGACACCGCCAGCTGTGAGTCTTCTGGGGGCCTGCTCCCCCCAGGCTCGGAGGTCGGGGGGTACAGGGGAGAGGGGACTAGAGTCCACCCTGGATCATGCCTGTTGGGATGCCAGGGAGCCTGGGATGTTGATGGGACCAGGGGATATATATTGGGGATGGAGTAAGGGAGGAATAGATGGGGATAAGATGCAGGTTGAAGCAAGGATTTAGTATCTTTCCTTTGGCTTCTTTTCTAGCTGCTGTGGCTGGGACAGGCCCTCTGGTGAGTTCTTCCAGCTCAGGGATCTCTGGGTAGAAAGGCTGAAAGTGGGGGGCTAATGGTTTAGTCTTTGGGGTGAGAAGAAGCTTTGGGAAAGGGGCCTTGACCACCATTCTGTGCCCCCCCCCCTCCCCCAGAGGGCCCTATGGAGTGAGCATGTAGCCCCTGATGGGCGCATCTACTACTACAATGCTGACGACAAGCAGTCCGTGTGGGAGAAGCCCAGCGTGCTCAAGTCCAAGGCGGAGGTCCTGAGCTGGGCTTTCTGGCCCTTCCTTTCAGCTGCCCTGACCCTTCCAAGTGCTTGATCTCCCCTGAGTCTATAAACCATACACATTATAGTTCCTCTGATCCCAAGATCCCTGACAACCCCAACCTCCCTAGGATCTCAGGAAGTCCATCTTGCCCCATGTTGAGCCAGGCCAGGTGGTAGCTAAAAAATCCTGGGTCCCTCTACTCACTGCATCCCCTTAGTTCCATCAGCCCACTGATGTCGTCTGACCCATCTTCTTATAGCTGCTGCTGTCCCAGAGTCCCTGGAAAGAGTACAAGTCGGACACAGGCAAACCTTACTACTATAACAACCAGAGTAAGGAGTCCCGCTGGACCCGGCCGAAGGACCTGGATGACCTCGAGGGTGAGGATGGTGGGCCTGGGTAGGGGCCTGTGGAGGGTGGCCCTTGCTACCCTGTGACCATGTATTTTTCCCATTGCAGCTCTAGTCAAACAAGAGGCTGTAGGGTAAGTAACTTGCTCATCTTGCCCACCTATCCATCCATACTTGGGGCCACCTGAGGGGTGGGACTGGACTCTCTCCCCATGATCCCTGCTCTGTGGAAGGAAGAGCGAATGCTCAGTCTCCTTGTGGAGTGGTTCACTCTGTCCCCAGTCCTTCTCAGAATAGAGTCCTGCCAGCCCTTGACCACCTCTCCCTGCTCCATTCTGGATTCTGCCCTTCCGGCTCGTCTGCAGGAAACAGCAGCAGCAGCCCCAGACACTACAGACACAGCCTCCTCAGCCACAGCCTGAGCCCCCACCTGCGCCTCCTGGCCCCACCCCACTGCCTATGAGCCTCCTAGAACCTGAGCCAGGTGGGAATGAAGATTGCGATGTGTCAGACGCTGTCCAGCCCCTGGAGCAGGGGTTCCTGCAGCAGCCAGAGGAGGGCCCCAGCAGGTGAGGCTGCCCCCACAGCATTCTGGATGCTGGCCTCGGGTTACCAGCCTGGTTCAACCTTTTACCTCTACTAGGCCTCTTGGGAAGGATCTGGGGATCTGGGCATGACCTCTAAAAGGCAGAAAAGGGCTGCCCTAGGGAGCAAGAAGGGCGCGGCTTGCTGTTGATCACCCAGGGCACTGAAACCTACGGGGGCTGGGGGATGTGGTGGCTGAGTCTCCTTTGCTTCCCCAGTTCTGCTGCACAGCATCAGCCACCACAACAGGAGGAAGAAGAATCAAAGCTAGAACCAGAGAGGTCTGGCCTCAGTTGGAGTAACCGTGAGAAGGCAAAGCAGGCCTTTAAGGAGCTGCTGAGGGACAAGGTACGGGAGATGGGGCTCCCAGGGTAGGCCTGGAGGGGGCTGGAGGGGGCCAGGCTCTGTGACACCCACCTGCTCCATTCCAGGCTGTCCCCTCCAATGCCTCATGGGAACAGGCCATGAAGATGGTGGTCACCGACCCCCGTTACAGGTAGGCCTGGGCAGAGGGAGCCAGGCCTTCAGATCCTGTTCATGAGAGCAGCTGGGTCAGGGACTCCCTGAGAAACCCCAGCTCAATATTTGGGCTCCAAGGGGCCAGGGTCAGGAGAGTGGTAGATGAGTGAAGGTTCAAGTGGAAGAGAAGCTATCGAGGACCTCCAGGAGGGAAAGGTGTCTGACATGAGACATTCAATAAATGTTTGTCGAATTGAAGTGATTTGAATTAATTGGGGGAAGTGGGGAGGTTAGGGCAGATCCCTGACTGCAATTTGAGCACCCAAAGCATCAGGGCCGGACATTATCAGTGTCCTGGAACCCGTCTCTTCCCCTCACTACCTCTCACCCTTCCCCACATCCCAGACATTTTTCTTGCCTCCCTGTACCCTGGAGCCCCTGCAGCCTGCTGTGCCCATGCTAGACCCCTCACACAGGTCTGTGGAGACCTGTTCCCAGTGTGCCATGTATGAGCCACAGGGTGGCTCAGGCTGACTCCTCTATTCCCACCCAGTGCCTTGCCCAAATTGAGTGAGAAAAAGCAGGCATTTAATGCCTACAAGGCGCAGCGGGAGAAGGAGGAGAAGGAAGAGGCGCGACTGAGGGCCAAGGAGGCCAAGCAGACCTTGCAGCACTTCCTGGAGCAGCATGAGCGCATGACCTCCACCACCCGCTACCGGTCAGGGGCCTGGGCTGGGGCAGGGCTGGGGGACCCTGAGACCACATGTGCCCAGGGCCTCTGGTCTCTGCCTGCCTACCCACAGCTCATGTGCTCCACAGGCGGGCGGAACAGACCTTTGGGGAGCTGGAGGTCTGGGCTGTGGTCCCCGAGAGGGATCGAAAAGAGGTTTATGATGATGTCCTCTTCTTCCTGGCCAAGAAGGAGAAGGTAATAGTCACTGGGCTGTTTCCATCAGCTTCAGTCTCATCTTAGAGTCTTCATGTCTTTGCTCCTTATGGACCAGGGTCATTAATTTCTCCGATGCCCCAGGGTCCTAGCTCCTTACTCTGAAGCTGACGTAGCACTTGCACATCCCTTCATTTCTGCTCTGGGCCTACAACCCGGGGCATGGGAGGACAGGAAGGACTCTCTGAGGGGTTGATCTGTAACCTGTGCTCCTTCCCCTTTGTGGGGACATGAAAACCTTGCATCTGGCCCTCCTAGGGTTCCCTAGCTACCTTCTTTTCCCCAAAATCCTCCTCTGCCCAGGACCACTTAAGTACTTCGGCCTGCCCTGCCTCTCCAGGAACAGGCCAAGCAGCTCCGGCGCCGCAATATCCAGGCCCTGAAGAGCATCCTGGATGGGATGAGTAGCGTCAACTTCCAAACCACATGGTCCCAAGCCCAGCAGTACCTCATGGATAACCCCAGCTTTGCTCAGGACCATCAGCTTCAGAGTGAGCCCGGGCCTCCACTCCCACCTGTCCCTTCCCCTTCCGTCATTGACCTGGGTCCCCAGAGCCTATTTCACACATCTCACCTGTACCTCCTGTCCTCCCGGACATCTAGGAGTCCCCAGCACTCAGTCCCTGGACTCCGGAGATGCCAGAATGCTCAGGTTACCCTCTCCCTCCGGGGTCCACTGTTGTCTAGAGATGTGTGTCCTTGGAGGAAGAACTTGGGATAGAAATCAGAAGACCTGGCGATGAGGACTGTTACAGCTGATGTGAATTGTCTTAAATTGTCACGGCACTGTGGGCATTAACTAGTCACACGTGTTACGATAAGCTGCTGTTGGCCTGTAATCACTGGCAATATCAGAAATACACTTTCTGAAGTTGGATCACAGCCTGATTGATTCCCAGTTCCATAAACTGTGAAGCCTTAGATCCTAAGAGAACTGATTTCATAAACATGATGACTTTGGTAACTAAATTTACAAGAGCTGAATTCTTGCTGATTTTTTTCTTATGCAATTAATGATTCCTCCTCAAGAACAACCGTTCCAGTACTCCCTCCCACAGAACCCGGTTATCACATTGCCCCACCATCCTGGCTGTCCCCAGCACCTACGGGGGCGGCATCCTCAAAGCAGTGGGGCTGTGGGGAACCGAGAAGGTATCCCACTGGTGTAACACCTGCTGAGCCTCCTTTCTATGGTTAGACATGGACAAGGAAGATGCGCTGATCTGCTTTGAGGAGCACATCCGAGCTTTGGAGAGGGAGGAGGAGGAGGAGCGGGAGCGGGCCCGGCTTAGGGAGCGGCGCCAGCAACGCAAGAACCGGGAGGCCTTCCAGGTATCTTTGCCACCCCCTGGAACAGAGCTCAACTCTGCCATATCAGGCCCACTGTTTTGTCTGTGCCCAGCTCTGTTCTATCTCCACAAGACCGCTTTATGCCTATAGGTTTCCTATGCTGTGTCCCCTCAACTTGGCTTTGCTCCTTTAGGGAGATGAGATGTATGCACCACCTAGAAACTGTCAGCAGAGAGTACCCTAAAGGCAGCTTGGCAGCCAGGGGAAGCCAGACAGGCATAGCTTATCCTCCAGGTTGGAGGTGGCAAATGTGGTGGTAGTGGCTGTAACACAAAGCGAAGTTGAAGCCAAGTCAGGAAGATGGTGCTGCAGGCCAGTTTTGTGTCTTTGCCTCCCAGCCTGGCTCACTCCCATGTTTTAGTCTGTCCCTCTCTGTATTTACATTCTTCCCTTTCCCATTGCTCTCTGCCTCCCCATCTGTGTCTCTTCATCTCTGCCTCCCTGGCCTGCATTTCTTCAATCTGGATTGTCCCTGCCTCTCCTGCCATCTCCTGTCTTCCTCCTTTGGCTCCACCTTCCTCCCTGTCTCACTCTCCCTATAACCGGCCTTTCCCTGCACAGACCTTCCTGGATGAGCTGCATGAGACAGGGCAGCTGCACTCTATGTCCACCTGGATGGAACTGTACCCAGCGGTCAGTACTGATGTCCGCTTTGCCAACATGCTGGGCCAGCCGGGTAAGACAGCTGGGCTCCCCTTCTCTGGCCTGGCTTCCTGCCCTGCCAGCCTCTCTGCACCCCCACTCCCGGGTCCTGACCCGACCCTCAGGCCTTGGGAAGCTGCCACCGCCAGGCCCCCCACCCTCCCTCCCCCCGCAGGCTCCACCCCTCTGGACTTGTTCAAGTTCTATGTGGAGGAGTTGAAGGCACGATTCCATGATGAGAAGAAGATCATTAAGGACATCCTTAAGGTGAGGGAGGCCTGGGGTTGTGATGGATGCAGGCTGGGTACAGGGCACGTTCCAGACAGGACTCCCTGATAAGTCCTGTTTTGCAGGAGCATTGCAGCTCAGTTCAGTAGATATCTACTGTGATCCCTTATGTGGCCTGGGGACACAGAAATGAATAAGATGCCATTTCTGCCCATAAGGAGCTCATGGCCTAATAGGAAGATAGATGTGACAACTGTTATACAGAAGGACAAGTGTTATTACAGAGACAAGAATCAGAAGAATTGGCATTTAAAATGCACTTTTAAGAACAACTAGGTAGAAGAGGGTGGAGGTCCTGGGCATAAGGAACTGCAGGTGCAAAGGCGAGGGGTGGACAGGGTTTGAGGAACAGGAAGCATAGTTAATCAAAGCCCACAGACAGGTTCCTTCTGGTCTGCCAGTGTTTTAGAAAAGTTTGGAATTTTTGCTAACATTTTAAGATCAACAGGTTGCACATCTTCAGCTTCTTTTGGAAATTTGGATTGTTTGGTAGCACTGGACTGGTTTTGCAAGGCATTCAGTGGACTCCAGCTGAGATGCCACTGTCTCTTAGAAGGGGTATGGCATCCTTAGCGTCACTCCCTGTCAGGCAGCGAGTTCAGTCGACATTTACCATCGCACATACACTTTACTTTTCTTATACTGAAGAAATAGTTCTGAATATCCATGTCTATCAAAGGTGGATAAGTGAGTGATGGACTATGAGAGCCTTGTGTTTCTGATGAAGAAAACAGAGAAAGCATACTTAGTGGAAGTGAAGGACATTCTAATGCATTCGAGGAGGCAATAGGCATAGTTGTTAGGAGCATGACTGAAGGCAGACTACCTGGGGTAAAAGTCCAGCTTAACCACTTACTAGTTGTGTGACTGTGGGCGGATTATTTAACCTTTCTGAGCCTCAGCTTCCTCATCTGAAAAATGGGCGTTTTCTACCAAAGCATACCTAATTACGAAGGGCAGTAACTTGGTACTTGAGGTGAGAAAGATCTGAGAATAAAGCTGGAAATGCCCCACTGCACTCAACATTTCATGTGTTTTGCCTTATAAATTCATGCGGGTATTACATTTTAATACCGTGTTGCTTCTCTAATTAATATAAACTTAATATTTTAAAATTACTGACCTTAAGTAAGACATACCATATTGTCCTGTGGCTTCCTCTGTTTCTCTGGAACCACATGTCCCAGTTTGGAAGTAGAGCCCTCTGTGTAAATTCCTTGACTGCTAAAATTTGGATTTTTATTTTGTAAGTACTGGGGAGCCGAGGAATGATCTGATCAGATGACGCCTTGGAAAAGCCCTGGTGAGAGTGTAGCGTAGTACCTCTCAGACTGTGTTGTATCCTTAGGAATAGGATAGTACCTGAAGCCTCAGGATACTAAAAGTGATAGTGGCAAGTAATTAAAATAAAATCTGGGCTTGAGTCATCTTCTCCTAACTCCCTCTGAGACCACTGCTCTGCTGTCTGAGCCATGTGATAGGAAAGTGTGAGCAGCCCTGGATTCTCAAGGCCGGGTCAGAGGTGTGGGAGGTGAGCAGGGAGAGCAGTCAGGAGGCGACTATAGGGATCTAGGTGGGAATTGAGCTCAGGCAGGGCACTGGAGGTGGCAGGTGAGAGAACGTAGTGTTCCAGCTCTTTCAGACTACCTAGGTTTTCTCAGAGGTGCCTTGGGACAAACATGGGGGTAAGGGAGGATGGAATGGTATGCTCTTTCCTCTATTTACATGTACAGCAGCCTCTCTTTTATACATCGAGGTTCTGTATAAGATTTTTATTGAAAAAAATGTTTCTGCTGTTAAAAAAATGAAAGTTTAAAATAGTAGGATAGTCACCCAGAAGTAAAATTGACAGATGTGTGTGTGTGGAATTAAGGGTAAGGAATAAGTGAGGCGAGAGGGGATGATGGCACCATTGGTAAGGATTAAGCAGGAAGAACAGGGCTGGAGAAAATAAGAATTTCATTTGAGAAATTATTCTTAAAAACAACCTTGGGGCCAGAAGAAATAAACTAAGCACCATATATTAAATAGAATCTATAATATTAAAAGCATAATATGCTAATTAGACCAGATGTCCTTCCGCATGAAGCCGGGGCTGCGAGGAAAGCCTGGGTCCTGGGTGCCAGAGGGAAGCCGGTGCCAGCAGCCAGTGGAAGGAAGGCCTACTCTTGCACAAATTTTGTGCATCAGGCCTCTAGTAATCATATAAAGTAGAAATCTAGTCCCAGGAGAGCTAAATTTTATTGGATGCTTAACTTTTAGTACAAGTGCTCTGGTACTACTGACAGGCCTGTAGAGGCCTATCACTGAGTTCCATCTCTCCACACCTCTGGAGAAAGAAGCTGCTTTAGGTACTTCCTCTTCCCCTTTTGGGATTCTGCCTACAGAAGGTTGACAAGCCCAGGAGGCCCTGTGGCCATTCACCAATCAGAGAGGCTGTGGTGGTGCCTCACCCCAGAGGATAATGCAGAGAGCCCCAAACTTGGAGCAGCTGGGAGATATGGGGGGAGCTGCTGAATTTGAAGTGCCTATGAAATACCCAATCTAGTATGGGTCTGAAAATGAGAGATGGAGAATGAGATTGCTAGGGACAGTGTCAATTGAAAAGACTAAGTGCTGTTCTCAGGTGCATACGTGCCTGCAAGAGATACAGTAAAAGGGGTCAGAGAGACAGGAGGGGACCTTGGAGGGGAGCATTGAAGAAGTGAACAGCAGAGGTGCTGAGGACCAAATGAGCAAGGACAGAGAAGGGGCCCGCTTAGGACATGAACAGCCTTTGGGAGAGCAGTGTCCATGAAGAGGGTGGAGTGGGTGCAGCACAAGCTTTAAGAGTTAGGTAACTCCTGGCTGTTTATTGGTTGAGACCTCTGCAAGTTATATAATGGCTCTGAACCTCAGTGTCCTTGTCTGTAAAATGGGGATAATTTTATGTGCATGGATGTGAGAATTTAATAACATTTGTATTGTCTTGCTTATGGTAGGCTCAATAAATGTTTATTCATTTTCCTTTGTGCTACATTTAAATATTTTGAAACAAAGGAAAAGAAGCAGGTTGTTAAGCTTTAGGAAGGGTGGAAAGAAGTTCCAGGTTAAGTGAGGTGTGTGTGTGATGGAAGGAGTCAGTGAAGAGGTGAGATTGAAGCGTTCAGTTTCCTAAGAGAGAGATTGGTATGTTTGAGAAGGACTGGAGAGTGTGAGTTGAAGAAGTCCTCTTGGAAGAAGCAAGAAGAGTATGCCTTTGCCATTGGCAGCAAGTTAGAGCTTTGTGGAGAGAGAGGAAGGGAAGTTGGGCCTGTGCCCCAGCTGGAGAGCCAGACTTCAAACCGAGTTGTCTTGGGCCAAGTGAGATAACTTTCCTAAGTCTCTGTGTTGTGAATCTTAGATGAGAATCACAGAGCCTGACTTATGGTGCTTTGAGAATGTGAGGTGTTTGGGAGTTGCACATCTGATGGCCTCTGTTTCTCCTGTGGGTCAAGTGATCTATGTGGGTGTCGTGCCTACGAGTATGGGCTTTGGTGTTAGAAAGACCTGGGGTAGAGCTCTCATTCAGCCATATACTTATTAGCTATTTGCCTTTGGGCAAATGCTCTGGTTTCTCTAAACCTTGGTTTCTCCTTCTGCATAAAATTAAGAGACTAGGATTCAGTGCATAAATTTAGAAAGGTGAGGATTAAATGAGAGGCGTATGAAGCACTCAGCATGGTAGCTAGTACTAGTAAGCACTCAATAAATACAGCCCAAGAGTGGGACCAGCAGAGGTTGACTGAGAATGCAAGGAACTTACTGAGCAGCAGGAGGGCCCAGAGGGGGCCCAAGCTTTAAACCAAAGGAACAAAGATCTAATTGTGAGTCTACCACCATGAACATGCCCCATCTCATCTGATATTGGAAGTTAAGCAAGGTCGAGCCTGGGTAGTGCTTGAATGGGAGACTACCTGGGAATACCAGGTCTATAGACTTTCAAAAAAAGAAAAAGAACTAATTATGAGGAACTCAGGCATTAATCTGTAGGCACGGCACACACACACCCTGCTTCCTGTCAACCTTCCCCATGTGATCCAACCCTCTAGTTCCCTGTGACAACCACAGCAAGGCTAGGCATGGGGCTTAGTCATTAGGTGGTGAAGACTTGGGCAATGTGGTTTCTGGATGCATCCTAGTCCTGTGGATCTCTTGGGGTGGGGACTTCTTGAGCATCCTGTGGTTGGACCCCTCTGCCTGCCCTGGAGGTGCCCTTGCTTCATGCGCTGCTGTGCCCACAGGACCGGGGCTTCTGTGTGGAAGTGAACACAGCCTTTGAGGACTTCGCCCACGTCATAAGCTTTGACAAGAGGGCTGCTGCGCTGGACGCAGGCAACATCAAGCTGACCTTCAATAGTGTGAGGGGTTGGGCAGGGCGGGGCTGTAGCCAAGGCTTCTGCTGAAACTCATCCCGTGTATTATTTCATTCCTTCTCGCTCACTGCCCCAGTGTAACTATACCCCAGTTCAGGGGATGTTAGGAGCCCAGACCCCAACTTCCCACCTCCTAAGGTATGCCTGAATGGGGCCCAGGCATCCACCCCCCTGGGTGACCCTGTACTGTGTGCTTTTTGCCCTCAGCTACTGGAGAAAGCAGAGGCACGGGAGAGAGAGCGGGAGAAGGAGGAGGCACGAAGGCTGCGGCGCAGGGAAGCTGCCTTTCGAAGCATGCTGAGGCAGGCCGTGCCTGCTCTGGAGCTGGGCACTGCTTGGGAAGAGGTCAGGACTGCAGCCTGCCACCACACGCCACCCCCTCAGTCCTGAGGGCAGCGGTGCTTCTCCACCAGTGGGGGCTCACCCCACTCATAATACAGCTGGGGCCAGCTCTGGCTCCCTTCCTTCCTCCGCCCCAGCCCTGCCCTGTGCTCATGGCGGCACCCATGCCGTGCCGGGGCTGGTCTGATCAGCAGTGCTCTCCCGTTCAAGGTCCGTGAGCGCTTTGTGTGCGACTCAGCCTTTGAGCAGATAACCCTTGAGTCGGAGCGGATCCGGCTCTTCCGGGAGTTCCTGCAGGTACTGGAGGTGAGGCAGAGCTTCTGGTCCTGTGCACCTGTCCCAGTTGCTTGAACACCTGAGGGCAGCTCCAGAGACCTCCCCCGCCTTCTCAGGCTCTTTTCCCTGGACATTAAGGAGGGGGAGGTCTTAGGTAACCTGGATAGTCCTGAGGCTAACCCTGGTGCCTTCCTTACCCCTGCCTCTTCCAGACTGAATGCCAGCACCTCCACATGAAAGGCCGGAAGCACGGCAGAAAGGGCAAGAAGCACCATCGCAAGCGTTCCCACTCGCCCTCAGTAAGTGGTGGGTAGAAGGATATGGGTGAGGCTGGACTGTCTTGGGGAAATAACTTTTCTTACTTCCCTCTGTTATCTCCCTGGGAGGGAGATTTGAGGATTCTTTTGGCCTTGGATCCTCCTCTCTGCCCCAATTCCCAGACTAGAGGGCTTCTGGGATGTCGGCCTGACATGTATCTGCTGATTTGCCCAGGGCTCCGAGTCGGAAGAGGAGGAGCTGCCCCCACCATCTCTCCGGCCCCCCAAGCGGAGGCGGCAGAACCCCTCCGAATCTGGCTCTGAGCCCTCTTCCTCACTTGATTCATTTGAAAGTGGGGGTGCTGCCCTTGGAGGACGGGGCTCCCCATCCTCCCGCCTTCTCCTTGGATCAGGTAAGCAGCTGGGAGCTGGAGAAGTTAGCCCAGACTGAGGAGGCCCTGGGAACCACAGCCCCTGCGGGTGGAGTGGGTTGGGAGGGCTGCACCTGCCGGAGAGGAAGAACTTCCCGTCCCTGGAAGGGAGGAAACCTGACTGAAGACTTCCTTGGCAGGTCCCTGTCTGAAGAGTGAGCAGACAGATGGACTGTGGCAGAGGAAAGGGTGATCCCTCCCTTCTCCCAGGAACTTAGTGGGGGGTTTCTATCTCCAGATCATGGCCTTCGGAGAGCCAAGAAACCAAAAAAGAAAGCTAAAAAGAGAAGACACAAGTCGGTGCGTAGAGAAGGAACTTCGGCCCAAGGCCCTGCTCTTGTGTGAGATCTCTTCCACCCGCCTCCAGCTGTCCTTCACAGGAACTGAGGGGGCGGGCTCTGGACTCTTACAGAACAGTCCTGAGAGTGTGACAGACCCGGAGGAGAAAGCTGGCAAGGAGAGTGATGAGAAAGAACCAGAACAGGACAAGGACAGGGAGCTCCGGCTGGCTGAGCTCCCTAATCGCTCCCCAGGTTTTGGAATCAAGAAGGAGAAGGTGAGAGGCAGGTGCCTGGTCCCAGCCCAGGCAGCGCTCTGTCCAGGCCTCCATGGCCTTCAGGGGAGGCAGTGGGTGAGCTGTGCCTTTGCTCCCCCAGACGGGCTGGGACACATCAGAAAGTGAGCTGAGTGAGGGTGAGCTGGAAAGGCGGCGGCGGACACTCCTACAGCAGCTGGATGACCACCAGTGAACTGACCAGCGGCTCTGCCTTGGGTCTGTGGCTACTAGGTCACCCTCACCGTCTGCCCCAGACTTCTTCCTTAGTCTGGTCTGTGTCCATTTTTCCTCAAGTAACCCCACTCCCAACACACCATTGCCAGCACCTGCCAAGGTTGCTCATGGTGTTCAACAGTCCCCTACTTCCCGGACAACTAGTGCAGTCCTTGCCCTCGGCCCCACGAGATTGGTGGTGTATGCCACGTGGGGTGGGTGGTGCCAGTAGATAGAATGTGAGAAGGGGCCTCCAGGGAAGTGACAGGCTGGTGGACACAGCCTGGGTGGCAGAGGGCGGGGTCCTTACCCTTTAGCATCAGTGCCTGCTCCTGCCTGCACGGGGCCCTGGGGCTCCACCACTCCTTCCTCCAGCCCTGGGACCCTGTGTATGTGTGTTTTGTTTTATAAATAACAATATTTATAACATGGCCAGTGGCTCTTTTGTCTTCATATACTACTGGGGTGGGCTGGGGACTGGGCAGGTGCACCCATGGCCAGCAGGGGGCTCTAGTGCCTAATGGTAGTGCCTCCCTTTGTGTGCTTAGAGCTCACTAACCTGATTCCCCTCCCCAGGTTTCTGTGCTCACCTCCAAGCAGATGGCAGCTCTGCCCAGCCTCCTTTCTATCCGCAGGGCTAAGAGCAAACTAAACGGCCACCGTAGCCCTTCACACTCAGAAAGAGGAGTCAGAGTCAGGCCTGTGCTTCAAGCCTTTGTTGAAAGAAGGGCCAGGGTTTATGTACAAGAGAGAAGGGAGATGATACATGTACAAAAAGGAATGGACCCCTGTGTTCCCTTCCAGGGGCTAAGAAACTGGCAGGGGACTGAGAATATAGCAGGTAAGACCACCATATCCCCTGCCCCCTCAAAAAAACAAAAATAAAAAAACGTAGCTGAAGGAGGTGAAGATATTGTTGGCATACCCTTTCTCTAGCTGTCTTGGGGCTAGGGCAGAGAAAACCCCTTTTGCCCACCTCAGCAAGAACCTGGAATGCAAAGGGCTAGGGCCAAGGGCAGTAAGTGTGGCATCTTTCCTCACCCTTATCACTAGGGCACAGCTGAGTAGGGCCCAGGCTTAGGAAGGCCTTGCTCCTGGTAAAAGATGAGCTGAGATTGGCAGGGTCCCAGGGCCCCCCAAGCCTGGACACTCCTCTTGTCCCTCTGGCTCTACTGACAGAGTGGCCTAGGTGTCCCTCTGTAGGCTAAAGCTCGAAATGGTTTTTTCCAGCTAACCCTTGGTGACCCTTCAGGAAAGGAAGTTGAAGACCTTGGAGGCAAAGTGCAGTACTGGAGGCACCAGGGCCGTGCAAGGCCCTCGAAGACCTAGTGCCCACAGTGGCGGCAGGGAAGATGCAGGCTTTGAGAGCTTGGGTGGACACTGGTCGGGAGCAGCATAGCCTCCCGCTGGGCCCTTGGCCGATTCCAGGGCTCCAGGTCCGCGGGTTGGACTTGCAGGACTCTGGGAGTTGAAGTGCTTCTGCCTCTTAGAGGGTCTTAGTGGGGGCCTGGTGCCCGAGGTGGGCCACTGGGTGGGGCCACACTCCTGGCTTGGTGGCGAACGACAATGGGCTGGTGGAGACCTGTGGGGGAGACAGAAGCCTGTAAACAGGCAGGGCAGCCAGGCCAAGCCCACCCTCTGTAGGAACAGCCCCTTCAGGAGCAGCCCACAGGCAGGGCCAGAGAAGAGCCAGCCATGAGTCAGGTGAGAGAAGCTTAAAGACACTGGAGGGGATGGTCAGGGAGATGGCTGGGGTTCTGTATTTTCAGAGGACCAGATGGAGGGTGACTAGAGGCCATGGGGCAGAGAAAGGACAAAGGACCCCCAAGCCCAGTAACAGAGCCATGGGCTCAGCCACCAGAGGCAGTGGTCTGGTCCCTACCCCTTGGTCTTAGTAGAAGCTAGGACAGCATTAGTGGGAGAGATACCACTTCCCTGAGGGCACATGCAGGGCATAAGCCATGCTTCTCAGAGCATGGGGCATGCAGGGAGGGAAGTATGTGTCCCCATCACCACGAGGCAGCCAGAGGATGGTGTCAGGTCATGCATAGGAGGCGGTGCCTGTGGACCCCAGCACAAGTCTTGGGAGATGGGCATGCAGAGGGCAGCTGTGGTGCCCAGTACCTGTCAAGGGCCCCAGCCTTGGGGGTTAACAGTTTGACTCATCATGGTGGGCTGCATCACAGAAGAAGCGTGAGCCCCGCTTGGCAGTACGGGCCGTGAAAGGGACACTCTTCAGCACTGTGGCCCAGGAGAGAGACACCGTGGTCAGGCCTCGTGGCACACGTGAGGTGGGAGGAGAGCCCAGGGAGTATGACTGGGTTTGGGGAGCAGTGCTCGGGCCCAGGGAGGAAGGGCCCCACCTGTGATGATGTCTCAATGGTACCATCTTTCCCTCGTACACAGGCCTGTGCTCCTTGGCCTGGCGCCGCCTCAACTCAGCAATTAGCTCCTGCTGTTGCCACTTGTTCCGCTGGGATGGGGTCTAGGGCCGAGCATTTGAAGGGAAGGGAGTCATTACTAACCTACCACAGGGACGGTTCCTGCCCAAGATGCCGTTCAAAGATGTCCTGGATTGTGTATGGCAGCCTTGCCTGGGAATCCCCTCCCAAAGCCCCTCTCTCCATCCCTTGGGATGCCAGCTTCGGGCCCTCTGGGTGGTCTGTGGGCTCCAGCTCTCCATCTCCTCTCCATTTGCTCCACCCTCTCCTAATTCTTTGCCCAGTTTCCTCCAGGCCTCTGCTCTTGGCCCCACCCACCTTGGCATCCAGTTTCTTGGCTTCCTGAGCCAGCTGCTTCTCCCGCATTACCTCCTCCTGCTTCTTGCGGGCTTCATTCTCTTGTTCTGCTTCCTAAGAACCATAGTGGGGGTGGGGAGCAGTTGTGAAGCTCACACAGGCTAAGGGGAGGGGCTAACTCTGAGGGTGGAGAGTGGGTGGCAGTGGGACCAGCAACCCCAGGTGGCCACCCTCTGGAGGGGCACTTCCTGCCCCAAACAATGACAGGAAGGGCCTGGGCCCCCACCCTGCCCACTAGTTCACAGCTAAGGCCTGTGGCCAGCTTCCATCGCTCCCTCCCAGGACCCAGAGGAAGAGACGGAAAAGGCCAGACTTGAAGCCCAACCCTCTCTCCCCCGATCAGTTTTCTCTCAGCCTTTTTTCTTTAAAAACCTCTCCTGCTCACCTTGTAAGAACGAATGAATCGGACAAATACTGGGAAGAATACAGAAGGAGGTGTGGTCTTGGGACTCTCACCGAAGTAGCGCACAACTGCATTGTAGGCCTCCTGGGGAAGGGTGGGCAGGTGGGGTCAGCCTGGCGAAGGGAAGCCGGCTCCCACCAGGGACAGTGGGCCCACAGAAAGCAGCACCCAGCCCCTATAGGCTAGAGAAGAACCGGGCTCCCAAAGCTCCCTAGAGCGCACCTCACCAGAGCCAGCTGCCTGCCATCCCCACTGTCCCTTACCCCCACGTTAAGCCAGCCCGCCAGCACTTGATAAAACTTCTTTGACCCAAGAAGGAAAAACTCAGCCCACCTAGAGGGGCACAGTGCCTTAAACCTGGTGCTGCCACCAGCCTCCACCCTGTGCTCACCTCCGCTGTCTTGGCGTCACGCTGGAGCTTGTCCAATTTGCCTTCATTGGTGCTGAGGAAGCTCCGAAGGACGCTGTTGTCATGCATACTACACTCGCGCCGAATCAGCTCCATGCCCCGGCCCAGCTCCTTCACATCTAGCAGCACATTCTCCAGGGACACTGTGGTCACAGAGCCCAGGCTGAGTCCAGGGCTGGACATGCCCACCTCCCCTCAGCATGGGCTCCCTCAGGTTCTCACGCCCCTGCTGCTTGAGCCACCCAGGGGGGACACAGAGAGGGGCACACCAAGCTAGCCGGGCTCTCACAGGGCAAGAAAAATGAATAGAGGCTGGGAACTCATGACCCCAAAGAGCAAAGTAACAAAGGAAGGCAAGCCAGAAAGACTGCCAGTCTTCAAAATGGCCTGCACCATTTCATGAGTGGGGCAGCAGTAACAGCTACCGATGTCTGAGGGGCTTCATGGTTTTTCTAAGCTCTTCCCACACGTCACAGAGAAACAGTCTGCAGTCTCTGGGGCCAGCCTGAGGAGCTGGGAGTGAAGAGCCACTGTGCCTTCCTCTGCCAGCTCCCAGCCATCCAGGTGAATAGGGCCAGATGGGTCTGGTGCCTGCAAGAAGGCTCCCGCTGGGCTGGCCCCTGCCCATGGCCCCAGCGGAAAGCTTTGAAGTGTCAGAAAGACAACAAGAGCCAGAAACAAAAGGACCCAAGTGTTCCCTCTCCTCACAGCTTCCTGGGATTGTCCTGAGCTGAACACAAGGGCAGGCTCCCCTCACCTGCTGCAGCCTTCTCCACAAAGTGCAGCTCGTGCCAGAAGTTGGCCAGGTCTGGGTATTTCTCCTTCACCGTCAAGGCGATGAAATGCAGCAATGTCATCTTCCTGTCAGTGGACTTGGTGTCCAGCAGCTGGGAGATGGGGGCGAGGGGTAATGCAAGAGGACTGAATATCCTGGCTCCACAGCCGCCTTCCCTCAGGCTTCCCGGCCCCATGTTGCCCCCACCGTCTCACCAGATCCAGGCTTTGGAGCTTGAAGCCATACACAGCACCCCGCTTGCTGCTGTTCATGTAGTTCCCCAGTGCAAGTATGATCTGTCCAGAGACCAGTGGGAGGTGTCAGACCAAGCCCTGAGGGCTACTTCCTTGTCTATATAGCCCCAGGTCCCCACCAGCACCCCCATATACAACCTCTCCCCACCTCCAACATCTGCTTCAGCTTCTGTGAGGACTTGACAGAGGCAGAGGCTGCAATGATGGCATTGAGTTGCTGGAAGGCAAGATGAAGAGCTGAGTAATCCCAGGCCGGCATGGGGCAAAGTCAGCAAGGGGCTGGGAGGATGGGCAGGGCCAGGGAAGTGACCAGCAGGTGGACGGTGGAGATGGGGCTGCAGGTGAGTGTGATCTGGGTGGGGCCCTACCGGCGTGAGCATCTGCAGGTTGTCCTGGAAGTTGCCCAGGAAGGCCATGCCTGCCATTCGCTGGGTCAGCCGCTCCACCTTGCTGAAGAGCAGCATGAAGCGGTCCTCAGCCGCCAGCTCCTCCAAGGGCTGCCGCTCCCGCTCGTATTGCCGCAGCAGCTTCACTTCGGCCTCTGTGGGCAGGAAGCGCATCAGGCACTCCACGAAGTCCACAGGCAGTGTCTGTAGGTCGTACCTATGTAGGAGGGAGGGACCCCTCAGGTCTCGCATTTGCCCATATTATGCATCATCCCTTTATTCTCCAGCTCCTAGAAGGACTGAGGGTGAGGTTTGTGAGCAGGACACAGCCAGAAGCAGAGGACCATCCTAGGAAACATTGATGTCCTGCTTAGAAACCCTTCAACATCCTCCCTTTGCTCAAGTCTCAATACCTGAGCATGGCTTAGGAGGCCCATGCTCAGACTTCTGCCCACCTTTCTATCCTGTCTCTCCTACTCCCCTCCTTACACCAAGGCCACAGCCAATTTTCAGTACCCAGGGCACCAAGCTTCTCCCGCCAGGACCT